GGGTCCTAAGGACTTGGGTTGTCCTCCCCTGCTTTACCAGGCCACCAGCAGGGAGCTGGATGGGAAGTGGAGCAGTGGGAACATGAACTGGTGCCCATATAGAATCCCAGTGCTTGCAGACAAAAGATTAGCCAATTGAGCCACCTAGCCAGGTGCCATATTTAACATTTAAATCCTTATTCCTCCATAAATTCACTTTGTTGTAAGGTAGAAATCCAAATTTTTCCCCTCACATAACCTATTCATATTCCCCTACCAATCTGAGATGTCATATACCGATCAGAAACTCCCATGTCACGTGCATCCAGCCGGTTTCTGAACTTCCTGGTGTGTTCCCTGGGAAGACTCACAAGCTGGGCTACATCTGACAGACATTTCCGAAGTCCTCGGTGTCACAGTTATTCATATGTGCAGCGTATGTCATCAGCAGGGTCTGACTGTGGTGCCGGTCAATCAGCTATCACGTGGCCCCGGGCTCATGCTGTTGTCAAGTACACATCTGGTCTTCATCCCCATGACCTGGCACAGGACTCTCACAATCCTGTACACTTCCAGGGGGAGTTGACAGATGGCCGGCAGCCCTCAGTCATCGGATGACAGTTGCTGGTCACTGCAGAGACCAAGGCTGAGTGAGAGGGTTGGGACCGACAGAGGCTGAAGGCCAGGCTGTTCACGTGGTCAGCCACAGCTGTGGAGTGAAGCTCCTGTCAGAATCCGGAGGCGTGGGTTCGGGGAGCTTCTGCGGAGCTTTGAAGGGTGATGTCACAGTTAGGGTGCAGAAACCCTGTATCCTTCCACCCTACTCACACCTTATCCTAGAAGAGATGCTTTGAGGTGTTCCCCTTAACGTGGCTTGCTGCTGAGTTAGTTTACCAAACCCTGGAAAGGTGGGGCAGTGCTGCAGCAGAGCCAGTCAAGCCACTGTGGATAGTGCTGGCATCCCATATGGGCACTAACTTGAGTCCCAGCTGCCCCACTTCGATCTGGCTCCCTGCTAATGCAACTGGGAAAGCAGCGGAAGACGGCTCACCTGCAGCGTGGGGGAGACCTGGAAGAAACTCTTGGCTCCTGGCTTCAGTCTGGCCCAGCCCTGGCTGTGTGGTCATTTGGGGAGTGAGCCAGCAGATGGAAGATCTCTCTAATACAGATGTGCTTATTAAATGGAATTGTTCTTGTATGTCTGTAGGAGGACATTGTGAGCCTGGAAGGTCAGCGAGCACAGGTTTGCAGTTCATTGGACAGTATTTGCATGACAACAACCTAATGGCTACCTTTGGTATAAACAGCATGTAAATGAGAACACCTGGTGGGATATACAAAACAAAAGGAATTCCAATCAAGAGGGGGACACAGTACGGACTCTCAGTGTATAAAGTCTGATGCCCCTAATAAACTTCGGCTTTGACCCTCAGTCAGGGTCCACGCGTGTTATTATCGGCTCCGTGCACCAAGTCCGTCGCTGCGGGACGGCGACATAATGTACAGAGACGTTTTTGGCTTCACCCTTCATATCTCAGATATATCTTAGAAACATAATAAAACGCACACACAGATTTGTTCCTTATGAGGAAAATTTTAGATTTAGATTTTAGAAAGACTAGGAGATACAGGCGTATTGAAATCCCAGTACTGGAGATGTTCCCGCTCCAGTGGATGGATTATAACTATTTTTTTTCTTCATCGCTTCTGTATTTTCAAATATTAAAAATAAGAAATTATCACTTTTAAAATTTTTATTTATTCCTTTATTATTGAGACATTCATAGAGTACTGGTTCTCTCATGCATTGGTTCACAAATGCCTGCTCTAGCAGGGCCAGGCCAGGTCAAAGCCGGGCAACAGGGACTCAAGCCAGGTCCCCCAGGTACATGGCAGGGACTGACTCCTTGTGCCCTCCATCCCTGCTGCCTCCCACCATATATATCAGCAGGAGGAAGGAATCAGGTGCAGGAACTGAGGATCCAGTCGGGGTACCTTCACCACCTGACCAGCAGGCTGCCATAGAGAGCATTACTTTATAAAGGAGAAATGAAAATATGCATAGGGGTAGGTGTTTGCGTTGTGGTTAGGATGCTTGTTGAGACATCTGTGTCCCATACTGGAATGCCTGGTTTGCTTCCAACCTCTGAAACCTGTAACAAAGCATAAGGTTTCTGATTCATAGATTGCAGCATGTAGTAGAATTCTTCTGTTAAAGAATACTACCCTGGGCCTAGCGCAGTAGCCTAGTGGTTAAAGTCCTCACCTTGCAAGCACTGGGATCCATATAGGTACCAGTTCATGTCCTGGCTGCTCTACTTCCCATCCAGCTCCCTGCTTGTGACCTGGGAAAGCAGTAAAGGATGGTAAAGGCCTGGAGACCCTGCTCCTGCGAGGGAAAATTAGAAGAAGCTCCTGGCTCCTAGCTTCGGATCAGCTTAGCTCCAACCATTGCAGCCACATGAGAGTGAACCAGTAGAATGCCATGTCGATGCAGTTCACCGAGTCAGAAGTGAGCTCACCCCCAGCTTAGCACATGCTCAGTCCTTTCCCTTGCCCTTGCCTCCTTACGCAAAATGGCGCCCAGTTCAGCTCTAGGGGGCTGACTGGGCTATGAAATCCACCCTGATCTCACACTGCCCGTCTGAGATTTGCTGCTCTGTCTCTGCTCCTGGTCAAATCAAACAGACCAACAGGACGGACAGTTCTTTGTCTGGGTTCACCTCCCAAGCTCCCAGTGAAAGCCCCTTCCCACCTGGTTGCTGGTGGAGTTCAGACTGCCATGGTGGAGTATCAGTTACTGCAACGCCACACTGCTGTGCCCGTTGCTTTCCTGTGTCTGTCAGTCTCCAGGTACCCTTCTGCTGTCCTTCTGTCTTTTCCTATTTCCTGAAATATTTCCTCTCTGTTTCGTCCTGATTAAATGTTTCTCCATCTGTTTAAATGTGTCCTTACCCTATTCCGCCGTCTTGATTCTCCCAAGAGGTCTTATTTTAATCATATGTTTCACATACATTTTGAGTGATAAAAATAAAATTGTGGGGGGCCTGCCGGCATGGCCTAGCGGCTAAAGTCCTCGCCTTGAACACGTCAAAATCCCATATGGTCACTGGTTCTAATCCCGGCAACTCCACTTCCCACCCAGCTCCCTGCCTGTGGCCTGGGATGGCAGTCGAGGACGGCCCAAAGCTTTGGGACCTTGCACCCGCGTGGGAGACCCGGAAGAGGCTCCTGGATCCTGGCTTCAGATCGGCACAGCATCAGTCGTTGTGGTCACTTGGGGGGTGAATCATCAGACGGAAAATCTTCCTTTCTATGTCTTCTCCTTTCTGTATATTTGACTTTGTAATAAAAATAAATAATTTTTAAAAAAAATTGTGAGGATTAAAAATATTAAAGTGTGAAATAGTTAATTCTGGATGTGGATCAGAAGGATTATTATTCTTTTTTTACTTTTTCAAAAATTTTATGATATACAATTGCAAAGGCTCTGGGATTTCCCTTACCCCATTCCCAAATTCCCTCCCCGCCCACTGACTTCCCCCCTATATTATTACAATAATATAGTCCTTCATAAGTAGTCATAAGTCCAGCATTCTGCCATTTAAGTGTATCCTGACCCTGCGGGTACAGGCAGTGGCATCCTATTGTCAAGATATATTTAACAGTTTCATAGGGAGTCCATCTTTGATTTGGAAGTAGAGATGTATGTATTGTATCTTTTTATCTAGATATGATAGTCTCTATTACAGAGTTATTTTTAAAAAGATGTATTAATTTTTATTGGGAAGGCAGATATAGGAGGAGCGACAGAAAGGAAGATCTGTCCAATGGTTCACTCTCCAAGTGAGCGCAACGGCTGGAGCTGAGCCAATCTGAAGCCAGGAGCCAGGAGCTCTTCCAGGTCTCCCACACAGGTGCAGGGTCCCAAGGCCTTTGGCTGTCCTCGACTGCTTTCCCAGGCCACAAGCAGGGAGCTGAATGGGAAGCAGGGTTGCCAGGATTAGAACCGGTGACCATATGGGATCCTGGCGCATTCAAGGCAAAGACTTTAACCACTACGCTATTGCGCTGGGCCCTATTACACAATTACTATAAATTCCCTTAAATTAAAAGCCACAAAACAAAATCAACAACAGAAAGAAAGTTAACAAATTTACAACGCCATGAAGTTAAATAACTTCATGTTAACTTCAATGTGTCGCTGAAGAAATTAAAATAAAAATCCTTCTTGTGAGTCAGTGAAAAGGGAACTATTTTGAAGAAATGAAAATGAATGCCGGAGATGCGCCGATCTGAAGCCAGGAGCCAGGAACTTCCTCCAGGTCTCCCAAGCGGGTGCAGAATCCCAAGGCTTTGGGCCGTCCTGGACTGCTCTCCCAGGCCACAGGCAGGGATAGCCTGTGGGATGGGAAGTGGGGCAGCTGGGATAGGAACCTTTAGCATCTAGGTTGCCATTCTGTGCAGTTAGCTCTTTTTCTGTGGAAATGAGAGCAGGGTGCAGAAGGGACTAAAGGAGAACCGCCCCGTACCTCGCGCGCTGGGGTCCGTTAGGCCGAGGGTCTGGACTGCGGGAGGGGTTGGACTCCTTAAGGCTGGGGCGAGTCTACCCTGTATGTAGGAAACACCCACTGAGATGAACAAACATTCAAGGTACAACAAACGATGGCAAGAATAACTTTTAGAGTTCTCTTTTTAGGAAAACTCTACAGAGCTTCCTAGGTGGGTGCAAGCTGGGGTGTCATCTAGGCGGGCCCCCCACCTCCGCGGTGGGTACCACCTTCCCCAGATGGAGTTGGAGGAGCAGAGAGTTCTGGGCTTTGTAGTAACGTCCTCTATCAGAGTTGTTCCCAGGCGGGTTGACGTTGACCCACAAGACTACATTTCCCAGGAGGCCCTAAGGCGATTTTGTCCCTCCTCCAGACTTCCGGCGTCGCTGCGCCTTCTAGGACCAATCGGGACGCGGAGGTGGTCGGCTCCTAAGGCTGTGATTGGTGTATTCAACTAGGCTTCCTGGGTTCAAATTTTTCAACGGTACGAGGCCCGCGGCGGGCTTGCGGGAGCTGGGGTGGCTGGGCTGACGCCACTCCCGGCGAGCTGAGCTGAGGTGAGACGCGGGAGGAACCGAGGCTCGGGGCTCTCGCGGTGTCGGGACTGCTGGAGATGGCCTCGAGTGCCAGGCGGTCACGGTGCCGAGCTCGGCGGGACGGGAGTGAGGCTGGAGCGGGGCTTGGGGGCGCCGCGTCTGTCGGGAATGGAGGCCGGGAAGCGGGAGGCTGTTCTGCCTGGCTCCGCGTTCCCTTTCACGGCGAGGCAGGCGCTGTGCTTCCCGCGAGTCCCCGCGTCCAGAGAAGCGGGGTGTTTGCGTGGAGGGGGATGTGTGCACAACTGCGTATCAGAACTCATGTGAGATAGATTAATTAGATGGCGAGGAACACAATGGAGGGAGGCTTTGAAATCTCTTGGAGTTGAAAATGAATTCCGTTTTGCTCTGTTTCTTGTCTGGTTCTCGCCCCTTCCCCCCCCCCCCCCCCCGCCTTTTTTGTTGTTTGGAATCGCTGGATATGGTTGCCTTTCTGACTTCTTTGCTTAGAACGTTTGTAGACTGCAGGGAGAAGGGAAGCCTCTAGCATGGCTGGACCCCAGTTTACTGCCTCTGTCGCTTCCTTTTCTCACGTGCATTCCTGCAGAGGCGAGAAGAGCGGGTTTTTTTTTTTTTTTTTTCTTTACGATGTCGCGATTTTGTTCCCTGGTGCATCTTCACCTGTGTCCGTCCTTGGAGTTTTGCTTTGCTCGTCAGGTGTCGTCAGAAACAGGACAGTGGTAGTGAGGACGTTCTGTACTGGGAGCTGAGTGGGTGATGCCACCTGCGAGACCGCCCCCCGAATCCGATTTGAATGTTCTCGGTTGGTTTTGTTTCTACTTGGTTTTCAGTTAGCCAGTGAATGGACCTTTGAGGGTCTCCGGTGGACTCAGACTGATGTGAAATACTTGTTGGCATCCAGATATGCTTTGGGGAACCAAAACACGGATTTAAATGGACAAGCAGAACATGACAAGACTGCACCTGCGTTGTGCTTTGGCAGTTCAGAGGTGACTGAAATCGGGGGGTCGCTTTGTGCGGAGCAGGGAGGCCTACTGGCCTGGAGAACAGCGGAGTTGGATTAGACAGAGTCTCAAACAGTCGCGAGGTGTAGGGATCACTCAATATTACCACTGTCTGAATTGACTACAAAATGGCAGGTCTGGAAAACTGGATTGTATTCAGTTTTTTTTTTAAGTTCAGAATGATTTAAATAGGCTTATTTTGTCCAGCCTTATGTTGAAATCTGTTTTCCAACCTGGATAAAGTTGATTATCCTGCAGTTGTAATGCAGTTTGTCTAGGAGCAGGGATTGTTCAGGCAGTGGGGAAAGCTATGCTCTGTATCCCCTGTGGGCTTGTCTCCTTTTCCGGATCTCCTTATTTTTTTTTGGAATTGCTGTGCCAGAAAGCAGGAGGGATCTAAAGACTGGGGCCGACCTGGTTCTCTTTGCCATGGATAGCGATGTTAGGGAGCAAGAATTAGCGGCCCGGAGAGTCAAGCGCCAAGGTAGCCTGTGGATACAGATGTGTTTGACACAGAGATGAGCAGCTCCAGAGCCTGCAGAAAAAAGGATGGAGAAGTGGAGTAAGATTCTGTTTTTGTTTGCATAAGGAAATTTGATAAAAGAGAAAGACGTTAAATATTAACAAGGAAGGCATAACATTAAATGCAGTAGGTTACTTTGGAAATTTAAAAGAAATAATATTGTACTTTTTTTTTTTTTTTGCAGAAGAGGATGATAGAAGTTTATATTTTTGAGAGCCTATTATTGTTTTGATGTTTGAATAGAAGTACTCACTACCACCCCTGGGTGTCAGTGTTCCTGAACTGCAGGCGTTGGGAGGATGGGAGTCAGGTCAGAAACCAGGACACTGATGTGCACTTTACAGAGGAAGCAAAGCTTCGGCCTGCAGCAGTGGTCGCTGCGGGGGTCTGGCCTGCAGGGAGCTCTGTGCTGCTGGACTCTTAGGGTCGCCCTGTGCTGCCTAGCATGGCTGGCCTACGCCTTTCCTGCCTCTTCCTGGTCCTCAGGAATCCTTTTACTGTGGAGAAGTCCAGTCTGTCCCGTTGACGTACTGCTGCTGCTTGATAAGAGCTATCTGTTAGACTTCACGATTTTAGAAAAGAGATAAGTTTGTACGGCAACATTGAGCTAAATCCTGGATGATTTTTTTTTTTTTTTTAAGATTTATTTATTTTTATTAGAAAGGCAGGTATAGGGCCCGGCGCGGTGGCGCAAGTGGTTAAGTCCTCGCCTTGCACGCCCGGGATCCCATATGGGCGCCGGTTCTAATCCCGGCAGCCCCGCTTCCCTTCCAGCTCCCTGCCTGTGGCCTGGGAAAGCAGTCGAGGACGGCCCAAAGCTTTGGGACCCTGCACCCGCGTGGGAGACCCGGAAGAGGCTCCTGGCTTCGGATCGGCATAGTATCGGCCCGTTGCGCTCGCTTGGGGAGTGAATCATCGGATGGAAGATCTTCCTCTCTGTCTCTCCTCTCTGTATATCCGCCTTTCCAATAAAAAATAATAAAAATAAATCTTTAACAAAAAAAAAAAAAAAAATTTACAAAAAATTCAATAAAAACATCTACTATAGAAAGGCAGGTATACAGAGAGGAGGAGAGACAGAGAGGAAGATCTTCTGTCCAATGATTCACTCCCCAAGTGGCTGGCGGCAATGGCTGGTGCCGAGCTGATCCAAAGCCAGGAGCCTCCTCCGGGTCTCCCACGCAGGTGCAGGGTCCCAGGGCCTGGATTGTCCCCGACTGTCCTCCCAGGCCACAAGCAGGGAGCTGGATGGGAAGCGGGATAGCCGGGGTTAGAACCAGCGCCTATATGGGATTCTGGCGCTTCAAAGGTGAGGACTTTAACCACTATGCTATCATGCCAAGCCCAAGTCTTGGATGATTTAAGCCACAGGTCAGGCTGTTTGTGAAGGAGTAGGGGGGATTAATACAGCAACATTGTGAGTGTTCAGACAACTTTTTTTTAAAAAAGATTTATTTTTTATTGGAAAGGCAGATATCCAGAGAAAAGGAGCTAGAAAAATCTTCTGTCTGCTGGTTCACTCTCCAGGGGGTCAAGTGGCTGGAGCTAAGCCTTTCTGCACTTGGTCTTAGCCAAAAGGCTGAGAAGCAATGCTAAGCCTCTGAAGCCAGAAGCCAGGAGTTTCTTCTAGGTCTCCCACACAGGTGCAGGGTCCCAAGGCTTTGAGCCATCCTCGACTGCTTTCCCAGGCCACAAGCAGGGAGCTGGATGGGAAGTGGAGCAGCCTGTTCTGTACTTGCAGAGTGCCCTCTGTGAGTGGCCTGTTGCAGCCGGGATCCCCCAGGATTGTGATTTGTACTGCCCTACAGTCGGTGCCCATATGGGATCCTGATACTTGCAAAGGGGGATTTAGCCACTGAGCCGTTGTGCCGGATTCCAGAATGCATGTTTTTAAAAGACCTTGGATTGGGCTCGGTGCGAGAGTGTAGTGGTTAAAGTCCTCGCCTTGCATGCACACCCGGGATCCTGTATGGGCGCCGGTTCTAATCCCGGCAGCCCTGCTTCCTTCCCATCCAGCTCCCTGCTTTGTGACCTGAGACAACAGTTGAGGACGACCCAAATCCTTGGGACCCTGCACCTGTGTGGGAGACCTGGAAGAGCTGGCTCCTGGCTTCAGATTGGCTCAGCTCCAGCTGTTGCAGTCACTTGGAGAGATGGAAGATCTTCCTCTCTGTCTCTCCTCTCTGTATATCCGCCTTTCCAATAAAAATAAATAAATCTTAAAAAAAAAAAAAGACTTTCGATACATGATGCCAGGTTTGGCATGTGGAGATTATGTTGGTTTACACACCCACTGAGTAGCATATATTCACATGGACCAAAAAATATATATATTCTTAAAATAGATAATATATTCATACAGTAGAAAATCAAATAACATAAAAATTACAGTGAGAAAAATCTTCCTTTAAGCTTGTCACCATCTGCCTGTCTTCCCATTGCCACTTCAATAAATACTTTTAGTAAATTTTTGGGTTCTTGTTTGCACGTATTTCCCAAAGCAGATACTTTTTGAGGGCACTATTTCTGCAAGTCAGAAATGATTGTCATTTGACTAGAATTGTAACCTCATAGCCATGTACCCTTACAGACTCTTAGCTGCTTACTATTGGGGTAGCAGAAAACATCAGGACATGACAAGTGTTCATTTTGTATATATCTTACTTATTTGAAATGTACAATTAGAAAGAGGGTGAGGGCCCCGCATGGTGGCCTAGCAGCTTGAACGCCCTGGGATCCCATATGGGCACCGGTTCTAATCCCAGCAACTCCACTTCCCATCCAGCTCCCTGCTTTTGGCCTGGGAAAGCAGTTGAGGATGGCCCAAAGCCTTGGGACCCTGCACCCATGTGGAAGACCTGGAGGAAGTTCCTGGTACCTGGCTTCAGATTGGCATAGCACTGGCCGTTGCGGTCACTTGGGGAGTGAATCATCAGATGGAAGATCTTTCTCTCTGCCTCTTCTCTCTGTGTAATTGACTTTCCAATTAAAAACATAAAAGTAATTCTTAAAAAAAAAAAAAAAGAGAAACAGAGGGGAGACATAGCACTTATGTCTACTGGTTCACTCAGCAGGCGGCTGCCATGGCTAGGCAGGGCTGGGCCAGGCTGGAGGCTGGAGCTTCTTACGGGTGCCGCACTTCATTCCAGATGTGTTAGGAAGCTGGATTGGAAGTGGGGCAACTGGGACAGGCACTGGCACCCCTATGGGATGCCACTAAGGTGCTGGCTTTGCTAGCTACCATAATGCTGGCCTCATTTGTAACGGTTTAGAAAGGAAAACGTGAACCTCACAAGTCTGGGAGAGAAATGGTTGAAAAATATACTTAAGGTTTCTGTATAGTAATGAATCAGAACCAGTATCTATGAGTGCTGTGTTAACTTCTGAGATTTGGATAGTGAGAAATTATCATTGCATTTTAAATTGGCCCAATTTAGGAGACTTCATGGATCTTTTTCCGTAAGCAGATCGAGTTT